AAATATATAGTCACAATTTTTTTTTATAAGCATTTAAAGTTAAAATTTTGACTATCCGGTAGGTATTACACTAAATTTAAATAGTAACATTGATTTTTATATGTTCATCAAAGTAGAATTATTCTATTTATTGAATATCTAATCAGTAATCAACAATCTATTAGCTATAAATTATAATTTATATGTGTTAAAAAATTATGCACCGGATTAGTGAGCAGTAATAATCCGAAAGGTGTATAATTATTTTCTTGTTACCTACTCACTTATTATATATTATGTTAAATGTTAATACAAGGTGATCTTCTAAARAGTAAACCAGGCTAACTCAAAAAATATTTATACATGATAGGTACATAAACATTATGTGTTAACTTTTAAAAGATAACTGACTAAATCATTTTTCATGATTAAAATGATTTTACTCAGTTTATTCTTTTGAAAACAGTTGTTTGACGATTAGGATTATTTGTCGTGATGTTCGCTTAATAGAGTCGTTATAATAGCTAGCCATATTTGGGCGAAATTTCTATTTTCGCTTTTTCATAAGTGAGAAAAAAAAATTATTTAGTTGAATATGTTCGCGAATAAGTCACACTGACAAATAGCAATTGGAAATTCATGATAATTGTAATTATATTTTTTGGCACCATTCAATACAAACTAATATATGGTTCTCATATTATACTATTACCTAGGTATATTATATAATATTTTAAAATTTATTAATTTCTATTATTATATTATTTTTGAATTTTATATCTACTTAATAGCTATACGTTTCTTTTTAATTATTAAAGAATATATTATTACCTATGTATTTATTAATTCGTCATAAATTGTTAATTAACCATCAATGTCGTATTTATAATTTACAGCATTCAGGAATTATTTTGTAAACTATCCATTGTCCATAAATTATAATAATAGTTAAATATGAATAGATTAAAATTATTTACATATTTTCGGATTCTGGTTAGCATTGCTCTGCTGTATAATTTTTTTTTTCATTATTATGAATTATGATAATAACTAATAAGTGACAATCGACTAAAATTTGATTTGATACTAAAAAGTTCAACTCCTGGTTTATAGGCAACTAAACTTACGTTTATATCGAATTTTGATTATAATTTAATTTGCGCCTGTTATTATAGACATACTAAACATATTGCTTTAAAGCTTAAACAAAATATTGTGTTTCAGAAGGGGCATTATTATTAAATAACAAATAAATACTTGATTTAAAATAATTTTGCTTAAAAAAAAAATGTGTATAATGTGAGTATTTAATTTGTATTTTGTTGACATAATATTAAATGAGTAAATATTTAAATTATACATTTATATTCATGATCAGTACTTAGTACGTATAGTTGTATGAATAATGATTAGGTACTGGGTATGGTATATTATTATTAAAAAGAAAACACGTTTTCTCATAATCGTCACAAATTTGTCTGTTGTTTTCTCAAGTACAATATTAAAATGAAATGAGTTTTAAGCGATAAATTATACTGTACAAGTATTTAGTGTAATCCAAATAGTTCCATTGTACTATATTACAGTATTTACAAACACAATTGACAGTTAATTTTAATATAATACATTTGAATACAGAACTAGAATAACACGAAACAATTTTTATTTATTATTACAATACAATAATAAGTATTTTATGATAGTTGAGTGTTGTCTGTCAGAAAAAAAACATACCATTTTAAAGCACCTTAAATATTTATTTTGATTAATTATTTCTTACATATCTATAACACTTGCAACTATGTATTATATTATATGTATATTATAATAATACATGCTGTATTGTATGGTTTACGAGGTGTTCATATTTTCATAATATTATTATACTTCTCACTGTGTGTCCTCGTCGTTATGAAAGTCATGAGAATAATAAATTAAGTTTTAGTCTCTTAATTCTTATAATTACATTATTTATACGTATTTGAATATAATTTTTTTTTCTTAATATTTTTTCCACTTACTTATATATATAAATAATTTTCAGAATAATGTAATGATAATGAATTAATAATAATTATGGAAATTACCATTTTATTTTCACAAGTTAAAGCTATAATATTTTATGTACAAATGTACAAGTGAATGAGTTATATTTTTGAAATGTTATTTAAAAATAACGACTTATAGCTATTGAATATTGTATTCCATTACAAGTTTATTTTAATGGTTAAAAATAAAAACCTAAATGCGATAAATTTTTTCTATTTTATTCGATGACACAAACTGCGGGATCGTCTATACATATAATATCGTGYTTACTATACAAGTGTTTACAATCTCAAATAACTATTATATTACAATTATAGTGTGTTTTAATTTTAAATTCCTTGTCTAAATGTTTTGATAACATTTTTAAGCTTTACTATATACTTAATTATTAATATTTATGTATTCTATTATTCTAAATAAACATATAGCTACACAATTTCCCAGACATGAAAACATTTGAAATATTTTTCGATATAATTCCTTAATAATCAATATTTATTTTTCAATCTTTAAGATCTATATTAAGTATTATAAAATCTTTCACAATATATCGATAACTATTATAATGAATTTAACAGAGTATAATTTAGGTATAGTTACTTCACTTAAATAGGTTAGTTTTTTTATGCGTAATTTCTCAACTAGTTTTTAATGAAAGCCTGCCTATACTTTAAATTTATTTTAAAAAAAGTTATTATAAAGTTTCACTTTTTCATGATTTCACTAAGACAAAAAATCCTAGATAAAAATAATCAACGGTTTGATAACTTATAATATTAATCATTATAACCAGTATTTTCATGATATTTTTCCATCGACGACATTTAATGTACCTATGTGATATAATATTTGTCCTGGAATTGGCAAAAGAAACAATAAGTATAAAATTACATAAGTATATTCTATACATTGATAGTGTTTGTAGAATATCATCTTATTTTGTATGAATTTATTAATATACGTCAACATCATAGTTACTGGGATTCCAAATTTTTTTTTACATTAAGTACAGTTTATGATACTTATTTTAACATAAATAACATTATAATATAATTATTCAGATTCAGCAAAAAATTGAATTAATGGTGCTGTGGCTCAAAAGCCAAAGATTGGTTTACTCTGTATTTATTTTATTTGCTATAATGTATGTATACGAAATATAAATAAAATAATAAGAAGTGTTGTTATTTTAATTTGTAATATTTTCACTGCATATAATAAACTATAAAGTATACGAAAGAAGTGGAGTATAGAATTATTTTCATACCTATTTTTGGGAACAGAAAATACCATTTTGTTCACACATTGTAATTAAAATAATGAAATATGAGTAATTAATTTTATTTCAATAAAAACTTTAATAGTTTGTATTTAAATACTTCGTCCATGTTTTTTTGTGTAAAAACCGCTACTTAAAAACTATATAAAATTTATTAATATTCAAGGAAAAATAATTTGTTATTTTATTTACATAATAACACACTTACTGCAACATCGGAAAAGTTTTTTTATCATAATAATTGGTGTTTGTTTTCACTTGTACACGTTATAATATAATGAACCACAAATAATTAGCATTAAAAATAAGATCGGTAATTTTTTTAATGTCATATAAATAAAAAGTTGCGTTTAATATGTTGTATCTATATTGTATATTCTATTCCCAAACATTCAATTGTAAATATTTAAAACAAAATTGCTATAGATAGAAATCGTTATTGATACTTTCTTCTTTCACAATCTAGTACCTAGAATCTACATGTCATCTATTATTGTATACAGCAGAAGCAGCAGCAGGCAACTATATAGCATGCAACTTATTCAAAATTTCGATCACTCGATTAAGTGTAATTAGCTTGTGTATTTTTTTTTTACCGAAACGAGACCACCCAGAAAAACATAAAATACATTACCGCCTCATTGTTCGATACAATAATATTATATTACGGAATATATATGGACTAGTTGTGTATTTCTAATGTCTGCGGAGCTAGAGAGAAGGGGAAAAACGATGACGGACGTTGGATCCACGTCGTGTAAGTATGACGTGCCGGCATATGTTATGGTACACGAATGTTATACGAGTCACAACCCGGCTTATAATAATATATCGTCGCATACGTCTTATACCTAAAACAAAAAATCTACCACGTCTGTGTCAGACATAATAATTTTTTTCTCCTTTATCGTTCGTTGTTTGTGTTGTTATTATTATTGTTGTTGTTGTTGTCGTCGTCGGTGCACCGAACAACGCGTTTATCCCTATATTGGAACGCCACTGCACCAACAGAGCAGCAGCAGGTGTAAAAATTGACAAAACCTGCTGCACGATGGTCTRYGAGGAACCGGAGAGAGAGTCTGGGAGAGACCGAGAGAGCTAGARAGAGATGGAATGAGGGACAGACCGCGAGAGAGGCAGCGATAGAGACCGAGGGCGAGAAGGCGAGACGGACGTTTAGGTGGGGGAGGACCGTCGAGCAATTGTACACGTTAAGACTGGGTCTCCACTATTGTTCGAGACGGCCGGTTTGTCTGCCGTGTGTGTGCGCGGTGYATATTCCCGTAACGAGCGACCGAGTGTTTATTATTTTTCTGTGTAATTCTCTCGTTTGTGTATGATAATATATTCTGTGTGTGTGCGCGCGCGTGTGTGTTTGAATAAAAATATCACCATCGGCCATCGCAGACGGGGGTTCGTATTTGGTCTGTTTTCGAAAATGTGGTAAAAATCTCGACGGTCGATCACGTATTCGAGACCGGAATCGTCGCCCAATATTTTTCATATCTTTCGTCGGAACACACGATTATTGTGTAGTGTGATATTTTCGTCACACTGTGGCCYAGCTGACACCTTSGAGTCAAACGCCGACTAAACGCAACTGAACGAACATGCCTTGTTCCGCAGTCACTCTTTCGTTGGCCACCATCACGGCCATCGTGGCCACGGCTTTACTGGCCATCGCTTTTTCCACCGACAATTGGGTGTACTACGAAGTCAGAAGGAATCAAATACAAGTGAGTACCTAATCCCATGACACGATGGTCTATTCGACATTTCAATATTCGTAGTCTAGTTAATGCGTAAGCTTTAATACTCGTTGCCGACGACTAAGTCGTTAAAATAATATTAAAATAATGACAATAAACGACCAACATGATCGGTTTAACACGGTTTTCAATCAATTTTTATATTTTATCATTCTTAGTGCTTTGGTACCTCCATCCACGCAATGTTTATAATGTATATTATATTATACTTGAAGACTATGTGTAACAGGTATCTATACTGCGTGTCTGTGTATAGTGGTCAGTGAGTTCAAGAGACTATTTTATTTTGTGTACGATTTTTAATACCTATTGGATCCGAACAATAGGCAATGGAAAATTAATCTATTCGGTTCACCATTGTTGAAAGAGAAATATTATTTATAAATTGTTATTATTCACCGATGAATACATGTGGATGAACACAAACTGCGTGTCGTTGGACTAAACCACCAGAGGTTAAGTTCCCACGATATCATAGGAATATTGCCGTATTGGAAAAGCTTATTTCTGTTAATGTGGTGGTTACTGGTTCTGACTAAAGGTTAATTCAAACACTAAACATATACCTATTTATTAAACACAAATTGGTTACGGGAGTGTGTTTTTTTGTTGATATCTCAATCGGGCAATGCCCTTCGTACACAACCGCAAACTCTAAAAAAAACTACTGACTTGCCCAAAATCACTTTATTAGCTAGGTGTTAATATATAATTATGTTTTATTCAACGTATTTATATCTTTATTTTGCATTAACGTTTTAAATGGTTACTGTGAAACACGAACGCCACAAGACAAAAATATTTTCAATTTTGAATGAAAGAGTACCGGCTTGGAATATTTATAATTTTCTTGAATTTAGTTTAATTATATTAATTGATTGTAGTATTTTTAATACCTATCTTATATTATACACAAAACACGCAGGTATACTACAGTAGTATACACCTATATATAAGAAGTATGCTTTATAAGGTCAAACACAGAAATTATGAAAAATTATACTAGCACGTTTTTCATCGGTAAATGGTAATCATTACATACATCAACAAAATAAAAGGATGAAAACTATAATATATTACAAGTAATCATAACGATAGTGGAAAAAAAATCAATCATTATATTATGAATTTTCCATTAAATTATAAAATTAAATAACTTCGATATTTCTATCCAMGTCAGGCTAGATTCAGTTACATTTACAGTTACCTAATTTGTTACCTAGTACCTATCATATCTTGTTCGGCATATAATATCATAAAATATTATGCAGTTCCTCTGTCCTATATACTTATAAAGCTATACGCAAATTAGTTTTTTTTAAATTCTGAACAAACTCTAAAACCAGTTTTAATATTTTGCGTGAAATAATTCGATAAATGAATAGAAATTTAATAATTAATAATAAATTTACTGATTTCTGGAATGGAATATTACAAAACTAATTTACATTTTGTAAAACTTTAAGAGGAGTTTCATACGTGGACAATCATTTGAAACAAAAATCAAACAGATATCAGTTTCTTCAAACTATGTTATATACAAATTTAAAAAATAACGAGTTATAAAATTTGCTAATTATTCTATCGGACTTCAGATTAATATCGATCTAAATTTATTACGTCAATTAGATTTTAACGTTAAAAATAAAAAAATAAGTAATAGCCAAACGTTTAAAAGTAATCATCAAAACTGGTGCCTATGACCTCTATAAACAAATTACAATAATTTAATAATGTTTCTATCTTATATAGGTATTGTGTTTTAACAATCAGTAATGATAGAATCAGTAACTAATATAAATATAATAAAATAATGTACTTACTTACAGTTTCAAATAAATTACAGTATGTTAACAATTTATACAAATCTAATTTTTTTTTTGTAGAATAAAATATAATATTCATTATTTCTCGAAATATAGCTGATCTATTAAAAATAAAAATACGATCATCATTAAAATAATTTATTTCCAAACCGTCAGCATGACTATACAACATTGTACTAATAATAATTACCGAGTAAAATCAATTAATTAAAATGATAACATGTTTTTTCTTTTAAATTCTGATCTTAGTAACCCTAATAATCCTAATTATACGTCATAATGTTCATATTTTGTACCGAAAAAGAGATAATATGATGTAATTATTATGATTATAATATCCTATTATAAGAGATTAATTATTAGTTTAACGCTAATAGAAGAATTTTATGGTTTTCCTTAGATGTTTAGCTTGTGCCATTAAAAAATTGAAATGTCATTTTGTGACTTCATAGTTTTCATGTTATATCATTAATGATTTTTAAGTAATAATTTAGATAATTGACATATTATTACGTTTAGTTAAACAAAAATAGCTGGAAGCATTTATTTGTTTCAAGTGGACTATATAAACATTTTTATTATGCATAAACCATAATATTTTATTGTTCAATATTAGGTGTAATATTATATGGTCTATGCATTTTAAATATTATAATCATGTAGTGTAGGAAATAACACCTGAAACTTGAAGGTTACTTAATATAACAATTGTTATTTGTGTTAAGAAGTTAATAAACGAATCCAAAATTGCTTACGAAAATATATTGTATTTATATAAAATGCATTTATTGAGGTTACTACACAAGATGAATGATTTCAGTCATTTAATTGGTTTCACGCTAGACGCATGTCTTACTTTATCAATTCGTGTTACTTGCAATAACCGTATTTTGAGTYACAAATAACCGAATAATAAAACATCATCGAGACCGAATGTATAATATATGGCCATGAATTGGAACAAGAAATAAAAATTTAGAATAATGACTATTTACTTAACTATTATAAATTCTATTACTGAAGACTGGAAGTTGTTGAGATCTGAGTTGAAATTTTAAGAAAATATTTTTTAACGTAACTTCAACTGTTCGGTTTACAATCTCTTAATAGTTGTATAAAAATATTTATACTCAGAATCCAAATTCCAAATATTTGGCGATTGTATAAACTAGAAAATAAAAATTAAATTGTAGGTCACAGGAGAATTGATAATATTGTGTAATAAATATTTCATATTATTTAAAAGAAGAACATATTTTAGAATTTTGTCTTTTTTTTTCAAACATTATGGAAATATATATAAATTAATTACTTTTTAGTTCATAAACCTGTTTGAAGAATTATAAAAATGTATTATCTAACTAGGTCCAGCAGTAGAAAATTAGTCATCGAGGTTATTATTATATTAAACATAATTACTTGAGACAATATTAATATTATTTGAAACTGCAGGCTACGTAACTGGTATATTCTGTTTTCTGATATTAAATTATATTGTAACAAAATAAATTATGTTGGTATTTTATTATTTGTTATTAGTATTTGAAGTACCTAAATAGTTATCAACGGCCGCTTATTTCCTAGTAAAATGGTAAAATAGTATTTTTTTTTCACTCTACTTTCATTTTCATCAAATACTGTTGGTAGGCACGAGCGGGCAAACAAGTCTAAAWATTCCAACTGCTTGAAATGAAAGTTTTTCCAATTACCAATAGCGTTGCGAACCAGGGTCAATAACCTGACTGACTGGCACGTAGTTAAGTGTTGACCAGACCAAAGAGAGTCGAGACTTTTTTTGTAATAGAAAATGGTCATCGTCATGTATTCCAGTAAATTTCTATCACGAATCTGGAGAGCCTTATCTGATGATCGATTATCGTTTTCGATATGGATATTTTAAATGTAGAAAAATAGCGTAGGCAATGAAAATTACGAGACAAGCTTTTTTATTACGCACATAATATACCAGTTGTACCTACTGTGAATTGTAATGATCTGTTAAATGATTTCACCGGGATAGTCTAATAACGTAAATTAATTATGTAGTAGGTAGGCATCACATTTTCATGATCGTTTTATCTCATATTTAGGTTCACTCCAATGAATGCTGTTAAAAGTAAAAACAAATATGTTTGATAGGGACCAAAWCTCTCTAATATTATATTAGGTACACGGGACCTTCATCCGCTCAATTAGGTAGGTACTTGTTATTTTAATATGAGAAAAACTCTTAGATTACAATTCGCAAGTCACAAGCTATAATATTATTGAACCGTGACAACAGAAGTAGCACTCTTTAATTGAATATTTAATACAATAATAATTGTATAAGAGCAAAACTATAAAAGTGAAAAGGCGTTGTATTATATTATATTTAAAAAAAAGTTTTCAATATGAACTAAAATATGAACTTTTTCTGTGGTAAGATAATTTATAATTATTTTCCTTTTGAATTTTAAATTTTAATATTCGTAAAAAATATATTATTATCGCACTCAATTGATGTCTATGGATGCTTTATCTCCTCAGCAATATAATTATAGCGTGTATGTATTTACGTTGAGATAGTAAAACTGCGGTTGATCACTGATTATGCGTCATTATAATATAAACACACATAGTCGTGGGCTTATAAATATAATTAGTCCCTCCTTATTTTTATTTTCTAAACGTCAATATACGTATCAATGGTGCCATTCCGTAACCATGTTCCGAGTCATATAGACAAATAAATAATATGAGCATTTATATTACATTTTTTTGATGTATAATATGCGTACTGACTAAAAAATATGAATGGTACTAAATAATATAATGTCCAAAAATTGTACATACTGCTTAATATCTTATAAAAATATAATTTATTTTTATGTACTTGTTAAATCCATAATATAATATAGTTTAGAAAAAAGGAAAAGAAATCAAAGTATGTTAYATCTTAAATAAATAAATGGTAAGTTGTAACTAAAAATACGAAAAGTATCTATAATTATATACCTGACGGTATAAACATGAAACATTATATTTACATTTTACAAAAGCATCATAATAATATGATGTTACTGTAAGCTTCTTGAGAATTATATTAGAGTTCTCACTTTCACGTTATTTATTTTCTATTCTTTAAAAGGCATTAAACGA